GGTTTTGAGTCTCATGAGTATCCTGATCATGTCTACAAACTGAAAAGAGCTTTATACGGTCTCAAACAAGCTCCTAGAGCTTGGTATGAGAGACTAAGCAAATTTTTACTTGATCAAGGCTACTCAAGAGGAAAGGTTGATACTACTCTCTTCATTAAACGTCAAGGAAAGCACTTAATTCTTGTACAAATTTATGTTGGCGATATCATATTTGGATCCACTAACATGAATCTCGTAAGAGAGTTTGCTGAGCTTATGCAGGGTGAATTCGTGATGAGTATGATGGGTGAATTCACATACTTTCTCGGTTTGCAAATCAAGCAACTGAAGGAAGGAACATTCGTGAGCCAAACAAAATATTGTTTGGAGCTTCTCAAGAGATTTGACATGGCAAATTCAAAAGCCATAGGCACTCATATGCCAACAAGTGTGAATATGAGTAAAGATGAAAGTGGTAAGGATGTTGAGGTAAAAAGGTATAGAGGTATGATTGGCTCTCTTCTCTATCTTACTGCTTCTCGTCCCGACATTATGTTTAGCGTGTGTATGTGCGCCAGATACCAATCATGTCCTAAGGAATCCCACCTAAAATCTGTCAAACGCATACTTCGATACCTATCTGGTACTCCGAAATATGGACTGTGGTATTCCAAAGGTAATGATTGTTCATTGGTAGGCTTCTCCGATTCCGATTTTGCCGGTTGCAAGTCGGATAGGAAAAGCACCAGCGGTACGTGTCACTAATTTTCAAATTCCTTGGTCAGTTGGCATAGCAAGAAACAAGTGTTCGTTGCTCTGTCAACCGCCGAAGCAGAATACGTAGCCGCCGATAGTTGTTGTGCGCAAGTACTATGGCTTAAACAACAACTATTGGACTTCAATTTGAAGCTAGAACGTGTTCCAATATTTTGTGACAACACCAGTGCTATAAATCTTACCCAAAATCCGGTGTTACATTCGCGTACCAAACACATAGAAATTCGACACCATTTTCTGAGGGACCATGTAGAGAAGGGTGACGTTGTCTTTGAACACGTTGATACCAAAAACCAACTAGCGGACATTTTCACAAAGCCGCTAGCCACTGAGCCCTTCTTTCATATCCGTCGAGAACTTGGCATTCTCGACATTTCTGATCGGGTTTAACAATTACTACGTTCATAATTAATCTATTTACAACTATGCTTTTGTACTACTAACAAGTTTAGCTTTTGTTGCAAGTACAAATATGTGGTTAACAAGTGTGGTCGGTATAGAGGTGATATTGCTCCTTTCTCTCTCTCTTTATATCTCTCTCTCTAAACATTCATGACTTGAAACTAAGTATATCGTTTGACAATCATGGTACTTATATATGTCTATGACTTTTGCTGCTAATACTATGTGTGTTGAATGCAAATTATATTGTGAAAGGGTGAATAGGCATGATAAATAGGCAAGTGTGGCATTCTGCATAATATGAAACTGAAAAATTGGGTTTTTGAAGGTTATGTGTCGAACAAGCTGAGGTACATCTCATCTATATATTGAAACATAGGATCAAAATAAACTGGCCATACTATATTGCAAGCAGGATTTTTGCTCTGAGAGACTCAGGTAGAGGCACTGCTCTAGCCTATGGGTCGTTTATTTCGGAAATTCTTGCCGCAACAAATGTTGTATACCCAACATTTCCTTGTGTTTCAGTCCCCTCTGTAGAAGAGTTTGTGGACTTCTCGGATCCTTACCGCAATCCCGATACTGCATACCGGGGGAGGGGCCGAGGTCGGGGTCGGGGATATTAGTTACATAGTTGCATATTTGTTTCTTCTGTGTACTTTTCATTTTTCCGTGTTATGTTTGCCTGAATATTCACTTATTTGCATGTTTTCTTAATTATCTATTAATTCAAGTTACTTTTGTTCATTATCATTCTTATGTGTGAAGTTTGGTAATTAACTATCACCTATTGTATGTTTTCTGTTAATTGATGCGTTCTCCTTCTCTTTTTGATGTTGTCAAAGGGGGAGAAGAACATGTAGCAAGAAAGCACCAAAGCCAAGTCAGGATATTCACAACAGTTGATGATTAACAACAGTTGATGGTTGTTTGTTCTGCAGCCTTATATTACAAAAGAAAGGGGGAGCTTGTGTATACATTGCATATTGGTTGTTTTGGTTGTATACATGTTGTCATCATTAAAAATGGGGATAATGTGGAGGCAAATCGCCACACATCACACAAGTCTGCAAGACATTGTTCAATACAGGTTTCGATGATGACAAATTACAGCCTTGGATAGATTGGAAATTATAAACTCCAGATCTACTAAACAAATGCAACGTATCACCTACCATATCCTTTTATACTTGTCTTAAAACTGTTGTAATAAATATACTATGTGTAGTTAAAATGCAATCATGACCAGAGGCATGAAAAACCACAAATTGATGAATTTTTGCAGGTTTGCAGGGCATGAGTCGACCATAGGGTCGACGCATGCATCAGAGCACTTTTTCACTGGTCAGCGCATAAAGGCAATGAGTCGACCATAGGGTCGGCGCATGAAGGAAATATTTTCCAACGGGTCAGCGCATAAAGGCATGAGTCGACCATAGGGTCGGCGCATGAAGGAAATAGTTTTCAACGGGTCAGCGCACGCCGACTGTATGGTCGACGCATACTGATGCATTTTCCAGATTTTCAGAAACATAGGCCATGCGTCGACGCACAGACCTGCTGCGGTCGACCGTTCGCGCGAAAATCCTGTTTTTAAATGTTCCCTCTACTATTTGAAATACTGTTATGTCTTTAATTGGGTTGGTACTATATATACTTGTTTAACCACTTATGTCAACAAACATTTGATAATATTTGATTCATGTGTTCAAAAACAAGAAAGAGTGAAATAGGTGTCCAAGATTCATCATCTTCATCTTCAACATCTCACAACACATCAATTACACACAACCATTTTTGAAGTGCATTGTGAGTGATTAAAGGTGATAAGGTTCGAAGCTTAGATTGGGTAATCAAGTTCGGGTTGAAGCTTGTGACAGGTTCTTTCTTGAATAAAACCGTTAGGGTTTTACCCTCCAAGATTGGTTTGAATTTTGGGGGTTTTTGGACGAGATTCTTCATCAAGGGTCAACTGAGCGAAGGTGATTGTGAAGAGGTGTTCTTCACAAGTCTAGTAGCGGATTCAGTGATATTGAAGGGAAGATCTCGGGTTCGATTTGTTGCTGTTGAGATCAGTCGGAGCCGAAGGTTTGAACAACAACGGGTTATTCAATAAGGTGGCTGGAATCGGAGGTCCATCAACAACAATCGGGGGACTTGATTTATCTTGAATCAAGGGGCAAGGAGTGAAAGCAACATTCAACACATTGAGATTTCTGTTGTATATTTGCTGCTCAATCCTTGTATAAACTGTTACATTCAACAGGTGATATCTATAAAATCTATCTCAATTCTAGTTTTAGAATTGAGGGCAGACGTACCCCGAAGCGAGGACGGCGGGGGAACTGCCTCACCAAATACTTGTCTTATCTATTTTTCAGCATTTACGCTATAGCTCAAAAATAAGTGATTTTTGTATAAGCACTATTGTCAAACTGTGATATAAATTGAGTAAGAGGTTAAAACTCTGTTTTTGACTCCAAAGTACAATAAGACATTGTACTAGGCTAGTTGGAATCACTTACTCAACATAAATATCACTTGGAGTGTTTTGCACACCAAGTGTTTGACAAATTGCCTAAACCAAAGTTATCTTACTTGTGTATCTAGTTTTGGTTTGCTCTTTAAATCATTGGAACTAGGAATCCTAACAACTGAATTAGATCATTGATAAGTGTGATTAGTGATGTGATTCTATTTTCCATATTGTCATTAATCCAAAGGCTTACGCATATCCGGTTTTCCAATAACCGTTCGTTTTAGACTATATTTTCCTCGGCCACTTCTGCACTTAAAACAATTTTTCAAAACCAATTTTTAATTGGTAGCGCCTACTCAAATTTTAATTGGGGATCTATTCAACCCCCCTTCTAGATCCGTGCCATAGTCTAACAAATTCATCATATAATCATCATAGTATTGAAGATCGACAGATTCCTAATTTAAAAAAAAAAATTAAGAATAATTCAGATTGATTAGCTTGTATTTAGCAACTTGTATTATAAAGGAGTTTGTTGTGATATAATCCAAATTAATTATTTTTTTTTATAATTAGTCAATTAAGTTATAAGTAACCTACTCGTATAAATACATACACTGTATAATTTAATTTTGACACAATACAATTACTTTTCGTTCTCTCTCTTCTATATCATTCAATCCTCACTAAAGTGCATCGACATTAACATTCCAACCATTCTAGTCATAGCATACTACTAACAAAATTCCCCCGTTTCCTACCTAAATCCTAGTAGAGAGTTGTCCATAACACAATTCTACAAAGTTCATCCCCTTGATTTAGAAAGAGCAATCAATAGAACCTATTTTTAAAAAATGATAATAGTCTCAACCATTAATCTTTGTTAACCTTAATCACATTGTTATTACCCGTTTTGGTTTCTCATAATAACTACTAGTTTCTTGTTTTCCTAAACCCTTTCGCTAGAGTTTCTTCATAAACTACTATCTTATTTTTAAAGATATCCAAACTAACTTTTCTAGAACACTTTTAATGATCCAAAAAGCTATATTTAGTAATCATAAATTTTTTAAAATATGAGTGCTTGTTAAAGAAATAACCAACTTGTAACAAAAACTAAATCAAAAGTGTGTAGGTGCATCAGTTAGGAAGCATCCATAAACTATGGTTAGATACACAATGGGACTATCATTGAAACAAAAATTATCATTAAGCCTCAACTATGTTTTTTCTTTTTCCTAAAAAGTCCCCACAGCTAATACTTTGATTGAATTCCTGCAAAATGAATTGCTCAAATTAGACACAGTTAACAAACAATAAAGCAGTAGAATGTGTAATGCAATATAACAACTCACTCCTATGTTCACTTGGAAGCACTGTAGAAGAAAAAAATTAAAAGCTCAGCTTCTTCAACATCGGCTCTTATGGCATGATCATTGGAAATCATTTCATAAACTAGATAGTAAAAAAATCTCTCAACCCTGTTAAATACATTAACATTTAATTCAATATATAACACATGAAACGATCAGGACACGACACAGACACAGATACTCTAATACCGATAATATAAAAAATATAGTACAATGGCATAATATCTGTATAATAGTATCTTAATTTTATTTATCTATCTATTATTTAAAGAATTAACAAGTATTCTAATTAAAATTAATGTCTTTAATTATTTATTGCTTATAATTCTTTTATATGTGTGAGATTTGTTCAACAAATGTATAAGGTATGTTGAAGAAAGGAAAATAAACATTATTTTAGTGACACGTTTGTTTCAATTGTTTAATACATTTGTATAAGTGTCATGCGAGGATCAAATATTGACTCAGTGTTGAATCAAAGAAGAAAAATCTTTTTTTAGACACTTGAGTAACTGTTTTTGATACTTTTTAAACTTTTTCAATATGTCATTGAGATATTATACAAACGTCGGACACGCGTGACAAACATTGTGACACGTTTGTGCTTTGTGCCTCATAGTATTTTATTAGTTACAAAAGTAAACACAAGAAAATAAATAAAAACTATTATCAAATCAAACTATGTTCTTAAGTTTGTGCAAAATGTCACACCTTTCATTCTCACGAAAGAAATAAAGGCCAATGTTTTCATTTTTTGCTCCAACTTTCCTGAAACGAATTGGCCATACAGCTGATCTTTGAAGAAAGTCAGCATAAAACACATTAGGAAGATGTCTTGTCAATTCATGAACTTCAGGGCATGCTAGACTGGAGAAATAGGCCATTAATTCAAAGCTTTTGTTGCTAAGCTGCAAACTTCCCCTATTTTACAGAAAATTCAACATAACATTGTCACAAATTACCATAGCAGCTACAATAAATTCATTACTTTCAAAACTCAGTAACTTGCTGCAAAAAACAAACTTCTTACATCCATATTGGATCAGCAATATGATGCGGATCAGGATCAGCCACCTCGTTATCAGAATTATCTACGTCAATTACCTCTACGTCACAATCCTCAACATCAACATTCTCCAAATCTGCATTATCTCGATCACATTCCTCCCTGAAACGAACTTCATCGTTTTCTGAATCTACAATCGCGTTATCAGAAAAATCTACATCGATTACCTCTCCTTCACATTCCTCGCAAAACCAAATAACATCATCTGTAAAAACCACAGGCTCATCTAAACAATACCTGAAAAAGAGAAAGAATATGTGTTGCTGTAACATAATATCATATAGTTAGTAGGCTTCGGCACAACACCATTGGCTCGCAAACCGTTGTCAACAATATCGGTTGGTTCGGCCACATTTATAACAATCGCATTCGCTGCGAAAACATGCAATGCAATAGAGAAAGTAACAAGTACCTATGCAGTGCATAATGTTGACATTTGAAGCAATATACCAATGTTTCTTCAAAGCCTTGGTTGCCACATTTGAGACAAACAGAAACCTGAAACAGAAACAACATATAATTCATAAAAGAAGTATGATCGTAATAAGTTTAGAAAAAGTTTCATGTACCGTTTCAGATTCAGCAATGAACTCGGAAGCAGAATGAATCTCCATCAAGAGAAATGTATGGTAGAAATTCAATATTTTGAGATTCTATTTGGGACTACTAAAAGTCAGTTATTGAGCTTCTGTTAAAAAGTAGAGAAACCATTTATGATATTATTTTTAGGTATCGGGAATCACTTTTTTTTTAAGAATATGGAATATAAATTTCTTTTATTAAATGTCTAGGAAATTGTTTGTATTTCATATATTTTAAAATTATTTATTAAATTGTAATTGGCACTGAACGTGAACTTAGTAGGAAGTAATATAGCTCCATCTCTGAACTGCTATTGAGAGGGAAAGTAACCAATGTCAGAATTAAATTTTAAATTCGATTTGTGGGTTCAATTGATTAAATACTAATTGTGAAAATAAAAAATAAAAAAAAATACAAACTATTTTACAAAATAATTTATTATTATTTATTATTTATTATTTTTTCAAATTTATAAATTTATGTTATGTAATTAATATTAAAAAATTTATAAATGAACTCTTAATTTCCTTTGTAAATGGGATAAATGACCACAACATTATATAAATCTACTACTATAATATAAAAACAAACCTCCTATTAAATTATATTTTTACATCACTTAGAGGTCCTTACATGTCTAAATTCAAGGGTAATTAGTTAAATTTTCTTGCTTTCATTATTTAATTCTTATTAATTTTGAATATTGGGAATGACATCCTTCTATCATCAATTTTTTAATGCTATATTTAATATTTTAATAGTATTTTTAATCATAATTACAATGTTTTACTACTCTTGTGTTCCCATAAAACCTTTTGCATTCCACCGTATGCTTCCTAAAGAAGCAAATGACTTTTGTATTTTTAAATCATTAACAAACGACTATTTTCTCAGTATTTTTCTTTTTTCAAATCTTCCTTTTTCATCAACAAATCAATATTCCTTTTCTTCATTATTTTACAATGCAATTTCCCCTTCTCACCACAACGACACTCTCTTCCTCCCTTCTTCGTCGTGGAAACTCTCTAAGTCTGCAATGTTGGTGCAAAGGTAGAATAAATGATGAATAGAGAAATATTCTATTAAGAGAATGACGGCTACACACACTTACACAATTGCAATGATTGTTACCCTATTTATAAGCTAATACTAGGGTTACTAGAATAAGATAAAAATACTAAAATACCCTCTAACAAACTTAGGGGCTAAGAAAATAATACAACTAATAAATATGAATTACTTCTAATATCATCCCTTAATTCATATTCCATCAAAACTTGTAACACCAATTCCATCCCTTAGTCTGAGAAATTGATCAGTCTTGATAGCTTTCGTCAGAACATCTGCCAACTGTTTTTGAGTGTTGCAGTGTACAACTTCTAACACTCCACTCTGAACTTGATGTCTCAGAAAATGATACTTGGTCTCAATATGCTTGCTTCTCCCATGCAACACTGGGTTTCTGGCAAGATTGATTGCAGACTTGTTGTCAATCATCAGCTTCAGAGGTTTGTTTATTTTAATCTTCAGATCCTGCAACAGATTCAGAATCCACACAGCTTGGCATGCAGTAACAGCACCTGCAATGTATTCAGCTTCACAGGTTGATAACGCCACAACAGGTTGCTTCTTGGAACACCAAGAAATGGGACCTCCCAGAAATTTGAACAAGTACCCAGAGGTACTTCTTCTGTCAACTCTGTCTCCACACCAATCAGAATCTGAATAACTCAGAAGTTTTGACTCATTCTTTCTTCCAAAAGGAAATAACACTCCATACTTCAGAGTTCCCTTGATATACCTCAGAATCTTGACAGCAGCTTGGTAATGAGACCACTTAGGTTTACTTATGAACCTACTAACCATCCCAACAGAATAGCAAATATCAGGTCTGGTATTGCACAAATACCTCAGAGAACCAACCAACTGTTTGAAGGTTGTAGCGTCCACATCCATTCCATCAGAGTCAGAATCCAGTTTCTGATTTGTATCAGAAGGTGTGACAACAATCTTACAATTCTTCAGTTCAAATTTCTTCAGAAGTTCTAATTCATACTTGAGCTGATGCAAAATGATACCTTTCTCAGAACATCTGAACTCCATCCCTAGAAAGTATGTCATTTTGCCTAGATCAGTCATTTCAAATTCATTCATCAGAACTTTCTTGAACTTGGCTATCTCCTGTTCAGAACTTCCAGTCAATAGTATATCATCAACATATAAACATACCAGAGTCATATTGCCTTCAGAAGTATGCTGAACATAGACACTGTACTCCATCTCACATTTCTGAAAGCCTTGCTTCTTGAAAAATGAATCAATCTTCTGATTCCAAGCTCTGGGCGCTTGTTTCAGTCCATATAGAGCTTTGTATAATCTGTACACCATCCCTTCCTGATTCTTTTTCACAAATCCAGGAGGTTGTGACACATAAACTTCTTCTTCTAATGGACCGTTCAGAAATGCAGATTTTACATCTAAATGCATCAGAGGCCAATTCCTGTTAGCAGCTATTGCAATCACCATTCTGATTGTTTCATGTCTTGCTACAGGTGCAAACACTTCAGAATAATCCAGCCCGGGTTTCTGTAGAAATCCTCTGGCTACCAACCTTGTTTTATATTTGCCAATTGAACCATCTGGCTTTAACTTCTGCTTGAAAACCCATCTGACGCTGATGGCTTTCTTGTCTTTTGGAAGTTTTGTCAACTTCCAAGTCTTGTTTCTCTCTATATCATCAAGTTCTTCTGCTTAAGAGCCTCTTCTGTACTTATGGTTATCCCTAATGAATTCCAAGTCTTATTAAGTTTCCAGTAGCTTCTGCTTAAGAGCCTCTTCAGTACTTATGGGTTCAGAGTCTACTATCATGACACACTGAATAACTTCTCCTTCAGAGTCTACTTCAGTGTCTTGCAGCATGTAAAATTCTGCATATCTTCTAGGGACATTTCTTATTCTTTGTGGTCTCTAAACTTGTTCAGAGTCTTGAGTTTCAGATGATTGACTTCCTCCAGAGCTTTGACCATCTTCATAGTCTGGCATATTTCTAGAGTCTTGAACTTCAGAATTTCTAGCTTTAGATGATTGACTTCCTCCAGAGCCTTGACCATCTTCAAAGTCTGGCATATTTCCAGAGTCTTGAACTTCAAAATTTATAGCTTCAGATGATTGACTTCCTCCAGAGCCTTGGCCATCTTCAGAGTCTGAATTGCCACCAGAATCTGGATTACCATCAGAGTTTGGGTCATTAGAGTCACCTTCATCTTCTGAGTCTTCTCTAGAGTCAGAATCACTATCAGAGTCAGAATCAACGTCAGAGTTTACTCCAACTTCAGAAATTCTTAACTCTGACCTTTCTTCAGAAGTTCTAACATCAGAATCAGATTGAGACTTATCCCAATTCCAAACTTCTGATTCCTTCACAATCACATCTCTGCTGAATTCAATTTTATTGGTTTCTGGACAATAGAGCTTGTATGCACCTGTACTGTGGTACCCTATCAGAATCATCACTTTGCTTCTATCATCCAACTTCTGTCTTCTGGCTTCTGGAATATGTTTATAGCAAACAGAACCAAACACCTTCAGATGACTAACACTTTGCTTATCTCCAGTCCACTTCTGTATTGGAACTATTTCCTTTAACTTCTTCGTAGGACATCTGTTAAGTACATACGTTGCAGTGGCAACAGTTTCTCCCCAGAGCTTCTGAGGAAGCTTCTTCTCCTTTAGCATGTTTCTCACCATATCAAGCAAAATGCGGTTTCTTCTTTCAGCAAGACCATTGTGTTGAGGGGTATAAGGAGCAGTAACCTCATGCTCAATTCCATTCTCCTCACAAAACTTCTAGAACTCTTTGGAGTTATACTCACCTCCACCATCAGTTCTAAGAATCTTCAACTTCTGACCATTCTGATTCTCAGCCTTCATTCTGAACTTCTTGAATTCATCAAACAGCTCATGTTTAAACTTAATAAGGGATACCCATGTCATTCTTGTGAATTCATCAACAAACAACACAAAGTATTTATTCCCTCCAATAGATGCTACTGGAAATGGACCACACACATCAGAATGTACAACTCCCAAGGCATGTTTTGCTCTTGGAGCAGCTTCTGACGCAAATGGCAATCGTAGTTGTTTTCCTTCCATGCAAACTTTGCATGACTTTTCAGGCTTCTTAATTGCAGGAATTCCATGTACCAACTTCTTTGAATTCATATGTTTTAAACTTCTGAAATTCAAATGACCAAATCTTCTATGCCACAGCTCACTCTCCTTCTCAGCACTTGTTGCACTAAGACATTATGAGTCTAGAGTTCTGACATTCACCTTGAATGTTCTATTCCTTCCCTGTTCTGACTCCATAATCAACTTCTGATTGCAGTCATACAGCTTCAGAAGATTGTCCTTCATGGTAACTGAAAAACCTTTCTCAATTAATTGTCCCACACTCATCAGATTGCTTCTGATGTCAGGTACATACCACACGTTCTGATTCAATGTTGTTTTCCCATTATTCAGAATCACTCTGACATTTCTCATACCTTCTGCATTAAGATGTTTGTCATCAGCACATTTGATCTTTGTTCTCTTTTCAGAGTCAGAGTCAACCAGCCATTTCTTGTTTCTAGTAAGATGATTTGAACAGCCAGTGTCCATATACCACCAGTCTATCAGATCCATATTATCAGATTCAGAGGCCATCAATAGCACAGATTTGTCATCAGAATTTCTGGCTATATTTGCTTCTTCTGTTTTCTCTCCTTGTTTGACCAACAATCTCTAGCAAAGTGACCAAACTTCTTACAACAGTAACATTGGATCTTCTTCTTGTCATACTTCTCTTTTCCCTTCTGAGCATTCTTTTGTCTATCAGAGAGGTTGAGCTTTCTGACTTCTGACCACCATCAGATCTTCTCCTGGCTTCTGACTGCTTCTGATACCTCCTATTAGAAGTTGCTTTCAGAGCCTGCTGCTCTACTTCCTTTTCAGAAGTTCTCTCAGTCAAACGCAACTCTTGCGCTTCTAG